TCTCCACGGTGTTCAGGAGTGGGTATCTGGAGATGACCTGGCGCATCACGCGCAGGGCTTCGCCTAGGCACTCATGGGCCAGGGGCCGGCGGGCCTCAAGGAGGTCTGCAGGGTAGAGTGAGCATGGCTAAGAAGGAAGGGACTGGCTCCAGTCTTCCCAGAGGTGAGGTGAGGAAACTGAGGCAGAGGTTTCCCCAAGCAACTGTTAATTTCACCCTCTCCCAGCGTTCCAACCAGAGGGAGGTAGTGTCACCTCCCCGTTCTTTCTGCAGACTTGGAAGGCGAGGCGCAAAGAGTGAAAGACAGGCTGCTGGCGATGGCGCACACCTTTAATCCCAGAACTCAGGAGGCAAAGGCAGGCAGATCTCTGTGAGTTCGAGGCCAGCCTGGTCTACAGAGTGAGTTCGAGGACAGCCACGGCTACAAGAGAAACCCTGTCTCCAAAAACCAAACCAAACCAAAGAGCAAAAGCCATTTGCTAATGGTCACACGGCTCTCCCTGTGTCACAGCCCTAGAAGGACCCTGCCTGGGATGACAAGCCCATGACACCTCAGTCCTCTGGCCTCCATCCTCAAAAGTCCCAAATCGGAAGGTGGGGTTTTCCGCCGCACAGTACGAGCAAGCACAAGCCCTTGGCAAGATGACAGGGCACTGAGGACAGGAGACCCTCCAGACAGAACCTGGAAACGCTCCCTGGTTTTTTGCAGCACCAGGCCCCGCGGAATGCCACCCTGGAGGCGATGCCCTCCACATTTTTTGTGGCCAGAATGGGAGGCGGAGGACTGGGAAGCTGCGCTGCCTCCTGGGACATTCCAGGCAGGCACCCACGAACCCCTTTGGGTCGCCGGGGTCCCTGCAGCTCCACGCATGAGCCTCCTTTGAAGCGTGATGACATCCGGGATGCAGCCGAGAGGAGCGCGGAGTCCCTGGCCACCCCTGGGGGCTGTGCAAAGGCCTTGAGCACGCACGTGTGCGTGCGTGTGCGCTTCCGGCCCTGGGTAGGGCGACCCACACCTTGCACTGTCCTCTCCCCTTGGGACCCCGTCTGGCAGCGCTGGGGGCCGTGGTCCAGCACCGGGTGCAACATCCCACAGACACACATGCTCAGGGATGCAGGAAAGGACGGAAGCTAGTGCGTGGCCCGGGAACCCGAGTCCTGAGCGTCTGGGGTCTTCAGACCGCTGGCCAACAGCCAAACCGGCTTAAGCCGGTCGTCAGGCCCCGCCTCCTTCTGGGAACAGTCCCACCCCCTATGCTCCTTAGGCCCGCGCAAGGCCTAACCACGGAGGAGGAATTTGGCTGGCTGGAAATAAGTGTGGGGTTTGCGGGGAAACTGAGGCTCAGAGTTGGAAATCCAGTTCAAGAGAAGGCTCCAGAGAAAGGGCCTCGCGGTGGCTTGTGTCCACCCCCCAGTTGCTGTCTCAAATGCACCTTGACTATCTGGGGGTTGTGTTCCTGTCCTGTTTAGAAAAACCCAGCCCCAGAGGTTTTAAGGCTTGGTGTCACAGCCAGCCGGTGACCCCGCGCTCCAGGCCAACATCCAAGGATGCTTGGGTGCGGAAAGGCCAGTAGATTAGGGCTTCCCCAGAAAAGCAGACTCAGCCCCCTCTCCGGAGACCGGCTGCTCCCATCCTCTCTGGGAGCCGCCTTGAAAGCCCCCCCCCCCCATAAGGCGGGGCCCAGGTCTCCATCTCCCTGTGTCTGTGCGGTGGGGAGGTTGAGGGGGAGTGGGGTTGGGCGCTGACGTGTGGTTTCCGGGGAGCAGCTAGTGGGGGCGCTGAGGCTGGTGCCTGACCCATCTCTCTGGGCTGCTGGAGACAAACAGGAAGGAGGTGAAAATAACTCTGGAGGAAACGGAGCCGTCAGCAACCGCGTGCAGGAGAAAACGGAACCTTATGCCTTGGGCCACTCACTCCCAGTGAGTCCTCTGTCCTCTGCCTTAACACCTTCCAAGTTCCCCCAGCGCCCACAACATTGCACCCAAGGTCCTTCAGCCTCCGCAGCAGCCTAAGGCATTCCCCCCACCTCCGTAGGTCCTACAGATCCCTCAGAACCGAGTCGATGCGAACACCTCTTCCCTGCAACCTATTCGAAGCCTCCGCGTGGCCCTCCCTTTCCTTTTTTCTTTCTTTTTCATCTTTTTCTTTTTTCTTTTTTTATTCTGTTCTTTTCTTTTCTTTCTCCCTCCCCCCTTTTGAGACAGGGTCTCACTGTGTAATTCTGGCTGACATGAAACTCATAGAGATCTCCTGCCTCGGCGCTGGGATGCAAAGCTTGCCCATCTCCTGTTTAAGCTGTGCCAGCCAGGAATTCTCACCATCTCGCAGCACAAACTCCTTGAGTTTCTCCAAGCCCTCAGCAAAGCGGGCCACATCAGCCAACAGGGTTGAGATGTCTTCTACACCATCAGGGAAAGGTCCCTCACTGGGTGGCTCTCCGGGGCTGGCAGCAGACAGGGGGCTTCGGTATCCCCGGCCCAGAGTCCAGGTGGCAGCCCCTGAGAGTGGGAAGCCAGCGGCACTGGCATGACGGCTCAGGCTGGTGGGTCTTTTGAGTGTGCCTGTGGCCTTGGCCCCCGTAGACAGGGATGTGGCTGGTGGCTCCAGACCGGAAGCCTCTGGACCTTCCCTCTTGGACAGTTCCTGGGAGGGTATAGGGGAGAAGAATCAAGGGGGAGTCTTTTTTTTTTCTTTTTTGTTTTTGTTTTTCGAGACAGGGTTTTTCTGTCTATCCCTAGCTGTCCTGGAACTAGCTCTTGTAGACCAGGCTGGCCTTGAACTCACAGAGATCCGCCTGCCTCTGTCTCCCGAGTGCTGGGATTAAAAGTGTGGGCCACCACCGCCCAGCTCCAAGGGAGATTCTTTATCCTGGACACTGCCTCAGTTTCCCCAGAACTTACTCGTGGTGTCAGAGGTCAGGGGGCAGAAATTTGAAAGCTTCCCCCCCTACACCTGTTACCCAACATCCTCCTCTTTTCAGCTTTCACAAACAACCGTCTCTACCCAAACCACAGCCTGGGGCGGGGCCTGTGTAGGCACAGGAGGGAGGGGCACCCCACTTCCTGGTGGGGGTGGGGAGGGCCCTCGTGGGTCTCCTGCCTTCTAGCCACCCCAGACTTCTCCATGCGTGTCCACTCTCCAGAAGTGGCTAACTCCTGAGACCTGGATCAGGAGTTATCAGGCCCTTGCATCCCTGCACACCCCCAGACCCGGTAGAGAGACCCCTAAACTTTGCAAACACCCAACAGCTCAGCAGGCATATTCAAGTCCTGAAGAAACTCAGAGACCCCCTAAATCTGCCCTGCACACCTGTACCCCAATCCCACACCCTTTTCCCCATTGGCTTCCAGGACCCTTAAATTGCTTCAACTCCAACTTCCAGAGAATCAAACACGTCCGTGGGCTCCAGTACCCGCTCTGCCCACTGCCCAGAGTCATTCCTGGTAAAGACGGGTGGCTCGGTGGCCACCAAAGGCCACTCCTACCGTCAAGCGGACTCCCAGGTTCAGGCCTCGTCGCGCCGCCTGCCATCCTGCCTGCTGGGGACTGTAGCTTGTGCGGGTTCCCCACCGGGGGCCCAGCATGATGCCGTAATCGCACCTTGTGCCTAGCAGTGGCCACGGGCTGTGGGTGTCATCCCGAGTCCCCGCCCGTCCTGGGCTCCACTCACCCCTGAGGAAGACTGTGGGTTGGGGCTCCCCGCGCGGTTCTTTTTGGAAATAGAGGGGGTTTTCATAAGTTCTCGCTTCTTCCTAGAGAACATGGTGGAGCCAGTCCCGTGGCCTCAGGTATGGGCAGCAGGTCTGGGCCTCTCAACCCTGCAGTTCCTGAGGCTGGCCGGCTCTGGACCACATTGCTCAGGGCCACCCCCTCCCCAGCTGTCAGACCCACGTGACGGGCCTGGCCCTCATTGGTGCGCAAGTCCCCAACACAGGAAAAGGCCCCCCAGCAGAAGGAGGGGGGGAGGGAGGTGATACTGTAGACCCGCCCCCAGTGCGACTGTCCTGGGTGCTGGTTCTGAGAGGGCTCTCTGCACTGCGGCTCTGACACGGGCTCCCCACAGCGGGCATCTTCCCCTTGCAGCCATTGCTGGGATCATTGCTGGGACGCACTGTCCCAGAGGCTGTCAGGAAGAGCAGTCTCACACGCATAGCCACACACGGGGACACAGAAGAGGAGGAATGGGGGCTCACACAGATCCAGCAGACACCTCCTGCAGGTGACCCCCACTTCCTACAGCCTCCTGGAGACCACAGGACAGGAAGGTGCCCCGACTGGCTTCTACCCCTCTCATCCTACAGCCCGGAAGCCCCACTGCCCTGCAGGTCCCCCCTGGCTCCTGTTCTCACCCTGCCTTCCACATCCCAGTTTTGAGCCGCTCAGGGTGACTCCCGGAGGCCCATCTAGTTTAGACACCCCACCCCTTAACTATCCAGACCCCCACTGACCTCAGCCACACTGGGTGGCTCTCCAGGACACAGCCCAGGAAGGCCACAGCCCGCGGTGCCCAGTCCCGCTCTCCAAGCTCTGGTCCAACCGCAAACCCAGCCAAGGAGCCCCTTGAGGGTCCCATGCTTCCCCCCACTCATAGCTGGACGGCTGGGGTGGGGTTGGGAGTTGTCTCAGGATGAGGGCTGGCTGGCTGGCTCTGAGGTGGGTTTCTGGTCTGGCCAGAAAAGCTCCAGGGTCCTCTAAGCCATCTGGGAAATTCCCCATGCCTGACCTCATCCCTACTTCATGGTTAGAAACACTCACAAGTCCCACCCTTGGGAGCCAGGTCCACACAGGTGTATGCAGGTCAGGTACATGTGACTAGACACTTGGGAGTGCCCATGTCTCACACCTGGGCTCACCCCACAGGCACTGCTTGGGGTCAGTGGCTGTGACAGCAGCCGTCACCTCTGTGACCACAGACACATGCACACACTCACTGTACATGCAAGTCTGTGCGTCTCGGCACAGAGCCAGGGCTCCTAAGACGCAAACACACAGCTGCAATCTCTTCTTGGTTCTCTTTATTTCCCCAGGGAGCCAGTGTATGGCTCAAGGACCACTCAACCCAAGGCAGACATGCTCAGAGCATGGTCTCCACAGAGCTAGGGTCTTCCAGGAATTGCTTGATACGTTTGGGGTGCTTCAGGCCCTGTGTGGAAACCTTCTCGGCTCCAGGCTCCCGCTGACTGTCCTCCTCTTCTTCCCCTTGGTCTTTGGAGAAATGCAGGAACACCTGACAGGGCGGTGACAAGGAGGGAACAGAAAGGCATGGGAGGGAGATGTCGGCCCACGGTCGTGAGGCTCTTCCCTTCAGGCATGGGTCTCTACGTCACCTCCTCCAGAGTGGTCTGGCTAACTGAGAAGTCCTCCACACCGTGGTCCTTGCCCTGCGCGGCCAGCTCGCGGAAAATCCGTGCCAGTGTGCAGCCGCCCCCAGGTGGCAGCTGGAATCGCAGCCGGCTGCCATGCGTCTCCCGAAGCTGAGCACCCGGGAATGTGGCCACGAGAAAGGCTATCGCTGGTTCGGCCTGATCCGGTGGGACCCGGAGGGTCATTGTGTGACCGGCCCCGAACCTGGAGGGGACAGGAGCAGGGATGCAGGCCTCGCTGCTCCCTACACCCGCTACACCTGTCTCTAGCCTGTCTTGTATGCCTGGATCTAGCCCAACTCCTCCTCACGCTGCTCTGCTTGGAAGCCACGCCCACTCATCTAATAGGCCACGCCCACTCAGAGGGCACCCCTTACCCTCGCCCACGTACAATATAACCCGCCCACAACCTATAATCCCCCCACACTCTTTCTGGCTTCACCCCTACAAGTGACTCCGTTCTCTACCCTTTGGCTCCGCCCCTAGCGTGGCCCCGCCCGAGCCCTCGAACCCCACCTACCCACCCACCCACCCTCCCGATCCGTAGAAGCTCGTCCTCCTCAACAGGTCTTTTCTCACTATCCAGGGTCCACACCCAGCTCTTCTGGCTCCACCCACAACCTCGGCGCGCCAATCATATCCCGTATCCCTCCGATCCCCGCCTCCCCGACACAGGCCAGGCCAATGAGCCTGTCCATCAAGCCCTGCTCACCTGCCTTTGAGATGTTGAGCGCTTCCCAGACAACGGAACCTGCCGTTCACCATGATGGCCAGGCGCGTGCAGAGCGCTTCGCACTCTTCCATGCTGTGGGCGACAGTGTGAGCAGAGCTGGGCCCAGCCTGCCTGCTCAGGGGCCATGCTCTGTCCCACCCCTGAGCTCTCTCAGAGTGTGGCATGGTACTTACCTGTGTGACGTGAGTACCACGGAGCGGCCCTCGCGCACCACGGACAGCAAGCTGTTCCAAAGAAATCGCCGTGCACTTGGGTCCATGCCTGTGGTGGGCTCGTCCTGCATGGGAGGGGCAGACCTTGAACCAGGTGGGACCCCAGTGACAGCCCCTGGCCTGCTCGAAATCTGCCCACTGGGGCTCCGCTCCGTCTAAGCCAGAGCACACTTCAACCAGACCCCACCTTGCTCAGGCCAAGCCCAAATGAAGGCCCCAGTCTTGTACAGGCACCGTCCCTAAGGGTTCCATCAGCTCAGACCCCACCTCGCTGAGGCCAGGCTCCATCCCACTCGGGTCCCACCCATAATCCACTCAGTCCCCGCCTCCACGCACCAGAAAGACCACGGCCGGGTCCCCAACCAGAGCCAGGGCTGCCGCCAGCTTCCGCTTGTTGCCTCCGCTGTAGGTACCCGCAGGTCTGTCTGCATAGCTAGGAAGGCCCAGGCGCACTAGGCCCGAGAGCGCTGTCTACGGAGGGGTGGAGGGGGTGGGGGAGGGTGAGCACGGGCGGGACCATGCAGAGAGGGGCGAGGCCATACCGAGAGGGAGGCGGCTTGTTCACCTGGGCAACCTGGGCCTTGGGTACCCCGCGCAGGCGCGCAAATAGCTCCAGGTGTTCCCGGCCAGTCAACAGGTCGAAGATGGCATCAGACTGGGGACAGTAGCCCATGCTGCGGTGTGCGGCAGCTGGATCCTGGGCCACGCTGGGGGTGGGGACAGGAGGCTCAAGAGCTGGAGGCCACCCATGCAGGATTGCGAGGGTGTCTGTGGAGAGCCAAGGAGTCCCAGGGCACGCGAACCATCCACAGAGGGACACAGATCCCAGGGAGTAGCCTGGGATCCTTCCCAGCACATCCTTCCCAATGGGGGAAGAACCAGGGTTCGGGGTACATATGCCCCTACCCGGAGCCCCTTACTTGTAGCCTGCAAGCACCGCTTCGCCACTGCTGGGTAGCGTGTCCCCTGTCACCATGCGGAAGGTAGATGTCTTCCCTGCCCCGTTGACGCCCAGCAGCCCAAAACACTGAAAGGGAACCACAGCCCTTCACAGCCCCAGGCGGGGGCCATATCCACATCCCCCAGTGTTGAGGGCAAGGTGGGGTGGGGGCTAGGAGAGGCAGAAGTCTCCCACCTAGCAGAGAATGGTTTTGGGCACCCAAGGTGATGTGGGAGTGTCATATATCAATCTGTTGATTTCATTGGTTAAGTAATAAACACACTGCTTGGCCTCATAGGTTAGAACATGGGGGGAGGAGAAAACAGAATAGGATGCTGGGCGGAAGAGGAAGTGAGGTCAGACTCTGCTCTGCTCCTGGACAGACCCGACAGCTCTGCTCTGGAGCAGAGACACCAGGATGGACATAGGCTAGAATCTTCCCGGTAAGCGCACCTTGGGGTGCTTACACACATCATTAGAAATGGGCTAGTCCAGGCGCGAGAATTGGCCTGTAAGGGCTAGAGTTCATGGGCCAAGCAGTTCTTTAAATGAATACAGTTTGTGTGTTGTTATTTCGGGCATGAGCTAGCCGAGCGGCCGGGGTGTTGGGGACGCAGCCCCGCCGTTCTTATTTCAACACCAAGGTATGGTCTTTGTTTTAGTTATTTATGGTTTTGGAGACAGGGTCTCATGTAACTCAGGCTGACCCTGAACATCGAATCCTCCTGCCTCAGTAGGCTCACGAGTGTTCACAAATGTGTTCTGACCCCCTAGTAGGCAGCCAGGGAACCACAGCCAGCAAACAGTTTGCATGTGTGCAAGCCTGGGAGGCAGGACGGGTGCCTAAGACTTAACTGAGAGGCACTTGACCTAATGCTGTCCATGCCTGAAAAAGGGTGCCCCCGCCCGGTGACCACAGTGGATGCTCACTGAACACATTGGAGAGGGGCAGACAGGTGGGAGGAACTCAAACAGTGGGCAGCTTCTAGCCTTGCCCAGTCCAGCACTCACCTCTCCAGGGGGGATCCCCAGGCACAGGCGATCCACAGCAGGGCTCTTCTGCCCACAGTACACCTGCAGGGGTGGGACCTCTTGAGAAAGGACGGAGTGCCCATGCCACCCCCCACCCAGCACCTGTCCCTACCTTGTTCCTACCTTGGTCAGGTCCCGGAGGACCAGCAGGTCCCCCTTGGTGGCCCCCTTGGTCACTCGCTCCCTCTCTCGAGCCACATCCTCATCCTCCTCCCCCAGGGGTGGCAGCAGTCTCGGTTTGGGTCTGAGGATAGACAGGTGAATGACCCAGGGAAGGACGCTAGCCACCGCCACCCTCACCTAGTCCCCACTGACTGTGGCAGGAGGTGGCTGCGGTGCTGGAGCAGGAGTGTGACGAGGAGGAACAGGGGCCCCTGGGCCACCATGGCCAGAAGGTTCTTGCCGATGATGTCCCAGTGTAGGGGTGACTGGAATTGCTTGTCTCCTGTGGGGACAGGAAGAACTGGGTCTTGTCCCCTGTCCAGACTATCCTAGACTAAAGAAAAGTTGACTGAGGCCTGTACTGCTAGGGTATAACTGACGTAGACCATTAGACATCTCCTTTAATGTGTGGTCACAGACCTTTCATGAAATGACCCTCTAATTATCTTTCCTTCACCTTTAATTTGACATCATTTTTGTGCCACATAAAATGGTCCAGTTAAAGGCAATGCATCTCACGTAATCAAGTCTGGAGGTAGGATTCTCAACAGTGCTGTTCACAGTCCCCGCTTGACAGACATTCTCACCCAAGCGTTCAAAGGCATCCGCCATAGCCTGGTTCCGCACCATATCAATAAGCCCTCGGCCCAGGCAGAAGTGAGGGAAGATAAGAAACACTTGCTTCAGAATCCGGCTCACTTCTTGAAGGTTCTGTACAGGGGCAGGTAGAGCCTAGCAGGTTAGTGGTTAAGCCCAACAGTGCCTGCTAACTCAACCCCAGCCCCAGGTTTTGTGACAAGATCCCACCTGATCTGAAAGCAGTTCTAGCACAAAGGTGGCCATGCTGCTGTTGATGCCAATGAAGAGGTTGATGCAGGTGAGCACCACATAGGCTGTACTGGGCACCGAGAAGAAGAAGGAGGCTGGGTACATGAGAGGCGTGATAGACCAGCTGAAAAGGAAGGATGACAGGTACTATTGGTGATGTTACACACTGGGTGGCCCCAGAACAACCCCTCTCAGATCTGTTATTACCAGGATGTGATGAGCTTTTAAGGCCACATTGACTCAGCTCCCAATTCTAACTCCTTTTTGTTTTTTCTTTTTTTTTTTTTAATATTTATTTATTTATTTATTATGTATACAATATTCTGTGTGCATGCCTGAAGGCCAGAAGAGGGTGCCAGACCTCATTACAGATGGTTGTGAGCCACCATGTGGTTGCTGGGAATTGAACTCAGGACCTTTGGAAGAGCAGGCAATGCTCTTAACCACTGAGCCATCTCTCCAGCCCCCTTTTTGTTTTTTCTTGGTCTCACTATGTAGCCAAGGCTGTCCTTGAACTCACAGTGATCCACCTGCCTTCAAAGTGCTGGAATTAAGGAATTAAAGGTGTGTGCCACCACCTTGGGCTTTTTGAAAAAAGATTTATTCATTTTTATTTATGTGTGAGTGTTTTGTGACTTCTATGTACACACATCATGTGTGTACCTGGTGCTTGCTGAGGTCAGAAAAGGGCATTGGATCCCCTGAAACTGGAGTTACAGAAGGTTGTGAGCCATTATGTGGGTCCTGGAAACTGAATCTGGGTCCTCTGAAAGAGCAGCCAGTGTTTCTAACCACTGAGTCATCTCTCCAACCCCTGAATCCCATCACTTTTAAGGTACTATTGCACCTGAGAGTCTTTTTGTCAGCTACTATGGATCTCCCCACTCCCACAAGAGGAGTAGACCTCAAAGGGCAGGGGGTCTCACCCATATAGCAGTAGTAGGAGCAGGAGAGCGGGCAGGTTCTGTGGGGACACATAGGCCCTCTGCTGAAAGGCCAGGAAGATGAGCACCACTATGCACACTGCCACCAAGTAGTTACACTGTATCCAAGACAGGATCACCTCAGTAGCTCAGAGGGCCAGGCACTGTGCCTCCCCTCCCTTCTCTTGTGGCCTAGTGGCCAGCCACACATACCATGTCCCAGAGGAAATTGCCGAGCCAGTAGAGGGTTTGGGGCAGGCCGCTGACCAGCTGCAGGTGTTTGGCTCTGGTGACACGTTCTTCAATAAGGACCAGGGTGAAGCTGGCTGGGACGAAGGACATGGCGAAGACCACGCATATAGAGACAAGGATGTCCACTGAGGAGGTCATTCTGGGGTGGAGGTCAGGGGTGGTTCAGGGAAGAATGGGGCTTGATGCCAAGGCCTTTGAGATTGAGTCCTCAGCAGGAGAGTGGGCACAGCTATTTGGGGATATGAGGTCTGGGCCTTTGGTATAAGTGGAATAAGACCCAGCATGCCTGGGTGTTTCCCACCCTGAAAGTCTGGAGCTTTCTATGTAATGAGACCAGGCTGGCCTTAAACTCACGGAGATCTCCCTGCCTCTGCTTCCTGTGTCCTGGGATTAGAAGCATGCACCACCGCCTGGCCTTTCCAGTGTTGGATGGCATTCTGTCACCAGCCCTGGCCGGGCACAGGGAAGGCTCCAATCCAGCACCTACACCCCTGAACAACAGGCACTGAGAGCAGACGGATGGACTCACAGTGCGGCCTCAGACAGCTGCTTCTTGGTCAGGTTCAGAGGATGGTTGAGCGTAGTGATGCTGTGGGCACGGCGGGCTGTGGCAGACGGTAGGAGGGCATGTAGGAGTCCATTGTTGGCTCGGTTCACGAAGGCCACCATGGCATGCCAGCCCTTGTTGTTGAACCAGATCTGAGTGGAGCAAGGACCATGAGTGCAGAGAAGCAAAGGGCCTTGGGTCCCCTGGCCGCCCCCACCTCCCGGCCCCAGCTCCCACCTTGAGGCTGCTCTGGGCATCCAGGCTGAGGGCCCACTGAGTAAGGTTGTTCAGGATACGGTCTAGGGCACTGCCGGGTTCGGGGGTCAGCAGTGCTCGCATCTCTGCCACTGTGTGGGCCACTTCACGCCCTGAGGGCAGGTCTGGGTCTCGGCCTGCCAGGGAGAAGCCCCCGTATCTGGGAAATGGTTTGAGGTGGAGACAGGGAGAGTGAGGAGCTGGGAGAGCGGGCGGGCAGGCCAGCAGAGGGTTTCCTGCATCAGGCCCCGCCTCACCTGACCTCATCCACCCACTTCTTAGTCTTCAGGCTGCGGGAGACACATGGGAAACAGAATGAAACAGTCAAATGGGAAGAGTCAGTATGGGGTACGGGGCCCACCAGCTTCCCCAGTGGGCACACAGAGACTGGGTGCTTACCCCCGGCGCACCAGGCTGGGGTAAGTCTTCACCAGGAAGTCAGACACATTTCGGCCAGTGAGGTTCTGGACCACCTCCCCCAAGCCAGCCACTGCCTGTGGTGGCGGCGGCCCCCCAGCTCCCACTGGGCAGTCCGGCAGCAGGCGGCGTACTCCAGGTTGGCTGCATTGGCAGGCTGGGGACGGAGACTCTGGAGTCCAGTTGCCGCTGGCCAGGATGCTGGCCACATCCGCAGGGACCTCAGGGACGGAGAAGTAGCAGGCCACGGAGTCTGTGCACTCGAATCCCCTGTGGAGTTGGGAAGGGCTGTGGGTGCTGGGAGAGGGTGCGAGCAGACACAGACTCCACACCCCAACAAGGCAACGGAGGCCTGCTCACCACAGCCAGAGGGGGACAAAGGCAAGGGGACACGGAGGGAAACTGAGGCAGAGCCTGGAGGAAAACTGAGGGAATGCGGGGGGGGGGGGGGGGGGGATCGCCAAGGAAAGTTGCTTGGGTTAGCCTCACCTGGCAGCTCCGCCCTGCACACTGGGGTCCTGCAGCCCGGCCTCCCCCAGCAGGGCCTCCAGCAGCTTCACCCGGTTGGGGTCCCCAGGGGCGTCCTCACTGTGGAGTGACAGGTCAGCACTGTGACGGTGGCTGTCTGTCACCCACCCACGTCACCTGCCCACTGTGCCCAGCACCCACCTGAAGAAGGAGACCTGGGGGCCGTACATGGCGGGGCTGAGCTGCAGGGGCGGGTACTGGCCAAACGGAGGGACAATGAGGCTGAAGAGCAGGGCTAGGCCCACAAAGAGAGCAGGCAGCACAATCTGGAGGACAAGGCTGTCAGCACCCACCTCCACACATCCTACCCTGCTCCCTCTCCCGTGGCTCCCCAGACACCCAGGACAGTCACATATCACCTGTGCAAACAGGCCCCAGTGGCTGCGGCGGGCCAGCAGAAGACGCTTGTGGAGCAGAGCCCGGAGCTGTTGGCAAGTCAGTGCCCAGCCCCGCACCAGGGCAGTGCTGGCCGTGGAGCCCTGTAGGGCCTGGGGCTCCAACATCAACCTGGCTGTGGGGGATGGGAGGTTAAACTCCCGAACTCCTCCGGTGCCTTGGGATGACAGTGGGAGTGGCAAGTGTGCGAGAGACTCACCCAGCTCCCCGTTTTCCAGGGCGGAAGCCTCTGGCCCTGTGTGGGGCTGCAGAGTGGCCGAGTGAGGGTGCAGGTGCTGTCTGAGGTCACTACCTGTGGAGCCAAAGAGATTCAGGGCTGGGGACAGGGTCTCGCCTCCTGGGAAGACGAAGTCAGAGTTCCAGGGGAGAAAGGGCCAGGATTCAGAGGGAGGGCAGACCCAGCCGAGGGCAGGCTTGACCCTGAACCTGGGGTTGTTGAAGGGCTACAGAGCTATGGCATACTTTCTCTGTGTGCGTCCTCCACCACCTTTAGGAAGATCTGAGGAGACAGAACAAGAGACTCACAGGAGCGACCCCCATATACCTTTTGGCCCCCTAGACCTCCTCAAGCCTCCTAAGCTGCCCACCTTCCCTAAAAGCCCTTCCTGCCTGGAGCTCCCCCTTGCCACCCATAAACAAGCTCCTATTCATCCTTCGAAACCCCACCAGGTCCCATACCTCCTCCAGGCTGGTGTCTGAGACCCCGTAGCCAGCGAGCCCCAGAGATGCCAGCTGCTGATCCAATTCTTGGAAGACCATGGCAAAGCTGCCATCCAGGGCCCCCGCATAGGGCAGTGCCAGCACCAGCTCGTGGGGCAGTTCCTCCACCAGCCGAGCTCCAGGAACATGACGCTGCACTAGGTCTAGTATCTGGGGTGTACTTGGGGTGAGGGGGGCTGCATCAGGAGCTAGGGCCTGGGTGAGGGTCGTCCCTGTGGACACTGGAAGGACAGGCACCCGGTTTGCTATGGATTAAGGGGCTGCCGGCCCCATCATTCCCTTAGGGGTCCCCTGAGCCACTCACCTGCCATGTTGTCCTTGCTGTCTGGCTTCTGCTCCTGGCTGGGGTCACCACTGTCTCCCTTCATAGAGAAAGACAATGGCCCATGTCTGCAGGACAGAGCTGGGCACAAGGCTCAGGGGGTAGCTCTAGCCCTCACCTTCGAGTCCTGGGTGTGGAGGAACCGGGCACTCTTCACCAGGGTCAGGTAGTAACCGCAGCCCAAGTGTCGGCGCAAGAAAAGCGGGGAGCCACAGCAGCACAAAGAGCCGTTTGCCACCATGGCCACGCGATCTCCCAGGAGCTCCGCCTCATCCAGGTGGTGCGTGGAGAGGATGAGCGTGCGATCTGGACATGGGGGTCCAGTCCATGTAAACCTCTGCCCAGGTGGCAGTGTCTCCCAGGAATCGCCTACGCCTAGGCAGCAAACTCCTGAGCATCCCTCAAAAACCCCATCCCAGGATTTCATAAGAAGAAAATAGGAACCTCAGGCTATTTTATCCCACCTTCCAGCTCTTACCTTCTCTGTACTTAAGCAGCAATTCCCAAATGCCACGCCGGGAAGTGGGGTCCACGCCAGCAGTTGGCTCATCCAGGATAACTACACGAGAGCCACCCACAAAGGCAATGGCCACAGACAGTTTTCGCTGCATTCCACCTGCACAGAGAGAGTGACAGTCCTCACGTGACCCACCCAGCTATCTGAGTGAGCCTCGGTGCCCCTCCCCCACGGAGACATCCTCTCCCCTCTGGCCCACCGGAGAGGTGCTGTGTCTGCGTGTCCCGCTTGGGGGTAAGCCCCACGTCCTGTATCAGACGCTCCTGCTCGGGGCCCAGGGCAGCCGCACGCACACCTCTCAGTCGGCCGTAGAACCACACGTGCTCTTCCACGGTCAGCCTGTGGCCAGGGGTGACGACACTGACTCCCTGGGGTGCATCTCAGCTGATGCCAGACCCCCTCCCACTGCGCCCTCCAGGCCCCTCCCATCGCACCCATCCAGGCCCTTCCTACCGCACCCGTCCAGGTCCCTCCCACCTCGCCCTCCAGATCCCTCTCACCGCACCCGTCCAGGCCCCTCCCACCGTGCCCGCCAAGGCAGGCCCCTCCCATCGCACCTGTCCAGGCCCCTCCCACCGTGCCCGCCCAGGCCCCTCCCACCGTGCCCGCCCAGGCCCCTCCCACCGTGCCCGCCCAGGCCCCTCCCACAGCGCCCTCCAGGCCCTTCCCATCACACCCATCCAGGCCAGCAGGACTCACATGTCGAACAGCACGTTGTACTGTGGACAGATGCCCAGGTGGGGTCGGATGGCTGCCATGTTGGTCTGCACATCATAGCCCAGTATGGAAGCTGAGCCACCACTGGGTGGGAAAAGACCACTCAAGATGGACCTGTGGGTGCAGAGATCTCAGAGAAGTTGCCCTTCACGGACGGACAGAACGGTCACCTTCACTTACAGGGTGCTTGCTGTATGCCATGCCAACAAACAGGGGCATGTGTGCCCTTTTTTGGGGGGGGGTTATGAGACAGGGTTTCTCTGTGGTTTTGGAGCCTGTCCTGGAACTAGCTCTTGTAGACCAGGCTGGTCTCGAACTCACAGAGATCTGCCTGCCTCTGCCTCCCGAGTGCTGGGATTAAAGGTGTGCGCCACCACTGCCCGGCATGTGTGCCTTTTTTTACAGGAGAGGGATGGAATCGGAGGAACCCAGATCGTCTGTTTACTGTGGGTCTGAACCAGACCCAGCTCCCGCTTCCACTGCACCCCTGGAACTCTGACCCCAAGGCTTCCTGCACGGGACAGATGGGGAACTGAGGGACGAGGCGTAGCGGCTAGCAGCTTACAGTGTAGTTGTCTTGCCAGCTCCGTTGTGACCCAAAAAGGCAGTGATGTGGCCTTGGTAGAAATCAAGGCTAAGTCCTCGTAGGGCTGGCTGTGGACAGCCGTGAAAGTGCTTCTTCAGGCCACGGATGGAGACTCCAGGAGTGAGGCCAGGCGGTGGCTCTTCCACCAGAGCTGCGGAGGGAGGACACGGTCAGCTCCGGCCCTCGGGGTCCCTCAGAAGAGTTCTGGGGGATGGGCACAGTGCGGGCATCAGCTCAGCTACTTAGGAGGCTGAGGAAGGATGCTCGGGGCTTTAAGGTCAGCCTGGGCAGCTTGCAAAATCTGTCTCAAAACAAATTGTAATAGGGTCGAGGGTGTGGGCTCAGTGATAGAGCCTCTGTCCAGAAGCCCCCCAGGGAGGAACCGGGGACAGGGCTGGGGATACAGCCCCTGTCTAGATCCCAGCAAAGGGGCTGAGAAGTCATTAAGTGATAGAATGTTTGCTTAGCATGCACGAGGCTCTAGGGGAGGTCCCTAGGGGACATAGCCAGGGCCTGGGGACCTGGGGTGTCCAGGGGATTGAGTTGCAGGACTGCTTTCTCTAGGGGAGAGAAGGGAGAGTCAAAATTAGCAAAAGGTCATTAATCGTCATAGGGCCTCACCCTTGGCATCTTGTGGGTCTGGGGCCAAGACAGAACCCTGGGGAGGTCCAGGCCCACACCAGTAGCTCCTCCGAAAGGGGAAATTCCATGGTTCAGGTATCCCATACTGGCCTGGTGGAAAGGGATACGTGGTTACACTAGTCACACTCATGAGATGTGAGGACTTCCAGACCACACACTTAGAATCACGATGTCAAGGGGGAGAGTGGCCAGGAAGCCCCGCCCACTTCCTAGCCTCAGACCCTGCCCCTCAGAGGCGCGCGTCAGTTAGGAAATGAACCTCCAGGAACTCAATATCCCTGAGACACGCCCTAAAATGTGGTGTCTTGTGGGCGGGACAGTAACAGGGAGTAGCAGAAAGCTCCACCCATCCTGGGCATTACTAATCCAGACACCAAACAGCAGGAGGCAAAGTCTCTGTACTTCAAGACGCCTCTAGGAGCCCAATATCCCAACGACAGCCCCTAAGACACTCGGCCTCCTGTGCGCAGGCGCGGTCCCCACCTGGGTACACGGCCTCCAGGTACCAGAGGGCGAGGCCGTAGATGGCGGCGTCCAGCAACAGGAAGGCGGACACCTGCGCCAGACTGAAGACATCCTCCGCGGGGCTCCTGCTCAAATTGTGCCACTGAGCCCCATCCCCCTGCTCCTCCAGCAGTGCTAGGCCTTCACATCCAAAGCCGAAGGCCACGGGAGACAGCAGGCTCTGGGGGGAGAAGGGGTGGGTCAGAGAGCTGGACACACTCTGCGGGTGTCTGTCCCCTCGCAGGCCAGAACATCCCTCACCGCTGCTACAAGGCCGCCCAGGGGCAGGCGCTCGCGCCAGGCGACACACAGCACGTAGGGCAGGTAGAAGGAGAAGTAGGCGAGGCCCCCACAGGCAGCTGCCAGGTTGGCCCTCGAGAAGAAGGCGCTGAGCAGAAAACTCTGAGCCACGGTGGCCACCGCAAAGGCCGCCAAGAAGAAGAAGACGACAACCGGGTGGCTATAAGGAAGGATGTCCCCTAGCTGGGAAAAAGCACAAGACTTTCAGGATTCCATTCCGAGATGGGTGCTTGAATGCGCGCCCGAGCTTCACTCCACAGGTGCGTGTTGTGTGTGTGTGTGGGGGAGATGGAGGATCCCTCACCTTGAGCACCAACACCAGCAACGCGGCACTGACCAGGAAGGGTCCCAGGCAGCTGAGGAACCAGCCAAGCCAGAGCACCGCGCGGCTCAGCCCCATGGCGCGCATGGTTTCTCGCAGCCGTGTCTCTTTCTCGCGTACCACTGCCTTCACGGTGAGCGCCACCGAATAGATCCAGGCCAGAGTCAGAAACAAAGGCAGAGACCGGCTCAGCACGCGCAGGAACCTATAAAACGGTGGGATAGTGGGGCGCAACACGCGTGCGCACAATATCATCCCGGGATCTGCAGGCTTGGCAGCATCCTCAGAGGGCTGATCTAGCCAGAGGGTGTCAGCTCCCAGCACAGGTCCCTTTGTTTCTTTATGGGGAGACATTGGAACCCTGGAGGGTCCCATGCAGGGTCCCTCCAAATCACAGAGCCCAGGCGGGACGCGAGGGAGCTCTTACACGTCATCCACATAGCAGGGGTGAGGCATCTGCTGCAGATAGAGGCCTGTGCGCCAGTTCCCTCCACTCAGAACACGCACGGCTGCCTGCTCCAGCATGTCCTGCAGGTACACGAAGCCACCCCACACATATCGAAGGTCCATGAGAGGGTCTGCCGATGGCCCGGGGTCCCAAAACCTAGGAGACATCAGATTCAGGGGATAAGCTACATGGAAGTAAAGAAATGGGCAGGGCTCCCTCCGACCCCTTCCTTTCCCAGGTTCAGTTACAGCTCTGAGCTAGCTCCCTAGCTCCACACTTGGGAAGTCCCATGCTCCACCTGGCTGGCAGCTCTTTGTAGTAGGCTAGCCCCCATTGCCCTCGGCTCCACAGTGCGGCTCCCCCGACACCTTATCCCAGACCCTTGGCTACACCTAGTTCCATCTCTCACCTACGCTAGGCATGGTCTTGGCCCCACCTACCACACCCTAGCCCCCCAGGAAGGGTCTCCCTCTCACTTGTCTCTGATCTTATTGGTCCTTGTGACATCATCGATATCCATTCTGATCTTGAATCGCAGGTGGCCAGGACCCAAGGCTGGAGGTGACAGCTCAGATGGACCCAGGGGGTCCTTAGGACTCAGGAAGACGATGCCTGCCCAGAGGCGGCGCTCACCCAGCAGCTCCAGGGCACGGGACACAAGAGCTGCCTCTGAGGGCACAGCCTCCAGCTTGTCTAGGGACACACACTGGGGTGGGGGGGGGAGGACATGAATTCCAGACTCTGGGGTGTGGCTGACCCCTCAGTCCCCAGTTCCTTCCCCCTCATGCCCCTAGATGACCATACACCACTACCAGTGGGCTCCCTCTTCAGACGTAAATGGAGCCCAGATGTCTCTTTGCTCCAGCCTCCAGGACAGGATCTGCCGCTGAACCCTTCCAGGTCACCAGGGAAAGCTCTTTCAGGTCAATCCACTTCCTTTTGTTTGTTTTTTGTTTGTTTGAGACAAGGTTTCTCTGTAGTTTTAGTGCCTGTCCTGGAACTCGCTCTGTAGACCAACCTGGTCTCGAACTCACAGAGATCTGCCCGTCTCTGCCTCCCGAGTGCTGGGATTAAAGGCGTGCACCACCACCGCCCGGCCCCTACTCCACTATCTATGACAACCCCTCACCTCTGTGATTTGGCCCAGTATTCCTGCCAGGTGCCCTATGTCCGCGTGGGCCTCCCGCCAGCTGTAGCCACCCCTCTTAGGGTCCAGAAAATCTCTGATAGTCACCAACTGCTTCTGGCCTCTGGGTGTCTGCTGCTCCTGCCCTGGCCCTGAGTACACCACTTCCAGCAGCCTCTGGGGAAGGGGGAATGACAGGTGAGGAGGGGCCTCTGTCCACCCCTTCCTGTCTGCAGACCCTAGCCTCCCAAAGTGGCTGCCTCCAGCCCAGCCCACCTGAAGCATGGCCATGTTTGAACTGTCATTCATGAAGTTGAAGATCTGGGGTCCTAACATCTCCCAGACCTCTTGTAGGTCCCTCAACAGAGCCAGCTCCTCAAAGGTCTGGTTCACCTGCAAGTGGGCATCTGAGATCAGCTAGAGGCTGCCTTCCACATACCTGGTCTGACCCTGGTCATGCTCTGCCCCTCCACCTCTGGACCTCCATCCTCCTCCTCCTCCTCCTCCTCCTCCTCCTCCTCCTCCTTATCCTCATCATCATCATCATCATCATCACCGAGTCTCACTGTGCATCCCTCACAGAGATCTGCCTCCCTCTGCCTCCCAAGTGCTGGGATTAAGGGTGTGCACCACTGACATGGGGCTTTTCTTATTTCTCAGTGTCTCCCACTATAGCTTAGGCTGGACTCCACATGTTCCTGCCTCAGTTTCCTTCTGAGTGCTGGGATAATAAACCTAAACGGTCAGGTTCTAAAGAGCCACCGCTTTAGCTTGTGTTTTACTTTTAATTTTTTTTCCTTTGTATTTTGCTTTCTAGGGATGTATACCAGGTGACCCCCCTCACCACTGAGCCCTCCCCTCCCCCAGAGCTCCTAACTGAGAAATCCTAGGCTAGGAGTTCTACCCAATCATGCCCCCAGCCCCTCACTGGGGATTCTAGGCGGGGCTCCACCCTGACCACGCCCCCAGCCCCTCACTGAGGATTCTAGGCGGGGCTCCACCCCGACCACGCCCTAGCCCCTCACTGGGGCTTCTAGGGGGCTCCACCCTGACCACGCCCCAGCCCCCTCACTGGGGATTCTAGGGAGCTCTACCCTGACCACGCCCCCAGACCCCTCACTGAGGAATTCTAGATGGGGGCTCCACCGTGACCACGCCCCCAGCGCTACAGCTAAGACTTATTCACTGTTACTGGCCACCTGACTATGGGTAAAGTGTAGATCCGCTGTCCCCCAGTGGCTCCTGTGTCTCACCTGGGTCATAAGCTTACGGGTAAAGTTTGTGTCAGGGGCAAAGAGGATTTTCCCGAGGATCAATGGCTTCAGGCGCCTCCAGAGCAGCCGCGACACAGGATGGTCACCTAGAGTCCCCATGAACTTGGAGCAGGCAGGGCCTGGTATTGTGGGGGGTGGTAACATGAGGTCCCACTGCATCCCTCTACCCTCCGTCCGGCCCATGCAGAACCCAACTCCGCTGTAGTGACTCACTGAGGCTGATGTCAGGCTGGGCAGAGGCCAGCTCTGGACCCATGAACTCGTTGAGCTGGCTGGCGTCATACCAATTGAGGGAGAGGCCCCCTGGGCTGCTGGGCCCCTTGGTACTGCAAAAGACCTCTGAAACCAGCTCCAGCGAACCAGCTGACCCTCGGGGCCTCTGCAGCAAAGCTCGGAGTTCCAGCAGGCTGGGCAGCATCAGGAGCTAGAGAAAGGTCACCAGGTGGTGCTGGACACCTCCTGCAGAATGTCCCAACCCCCCTTTTTGTTTATTTATTTTATTTTATTGAAACATAGTCTCATGTAGCTGGCAAACCTCATGCTATGTATCCTCTGTGTCCTGAGTGCTGGAATGACAGGAGCATTATGGGGCGTTAGGGGTAGAATCCAGGATTCCGTGCACGCTGGGCAAATGCTCTACCAACTGAGTTACAAGCACTCTAATAACTGAACGACATTGCTTCCCTTCTGTCTGTTCGTTTGTTACTCTGTAGCCCAGGCTAGCCTCAAGCTCACAGTTGCCCCGCCCAGCCTCTGGAGTGCAGAGGCGACCACAATGTATCACCACACACAGCTTTTCCCACCTTGGAGTCTGAAGCAGGGCAGGGACCCAGTCAGGTGCCCCTTTAGGCTTCCTGGCCAGGGTGGAGACTGGCTGGGGCTTCTCACCTCCTGCATAAGCTCCCCGGTGGCATTCAAGAACTCCCTCATGGAATCCCGGGTTTCACCCAGCACAGGTCCCAGGGATGCCTGCAGGCAAGAGAGCAAAGTGGCAGGGACCTGGGTGGACGGCTGATTGGTCCTCAGGCCTTCTGATCCTCCGGCATCCACCTCCTGAGTGCTGAGATGCCAGAGGAGTTGGGATGGCGTCCATGGCTTCTTTAGTGCTGGGCGGGTGAGCGCTCCGCTCCCCCCACTGAGCCCCAGTCTCAGCTTCCCCATTTACACCCCTTTTACAAATGAGGTGCGGGAGGGTGGAAGGAGCTTATTCCAGGAGTCCCTCACCATGCCAACCCCTCCTCACCCCTTGCAGGATCTTTTTGAGCTCAGCGGTCACTGATGTTTGCTTGTTCGGTAAGTTATTCTCTGGTGGCCAGGCTGAGGGGAAGGGTGCGAATGTTAGGCAAGCTCAGCTTGCGGTGCTCCCTCCCCCACCCCCTGCCCCATCCTCCGTCTTCCTCTACCTCCACCTCCCATGGCTCTGAGCAGGGGCATCAGTTTCCCCAGGGCAGCCAGCATCTCCCGAATGCGGCGGCCCCCCAGCACTGCACGAGCATCGGTAAGGAGCCTCGAGACCCTGGGGGCAGAGAGGGGACGGGAGCTGGGGCTCGAGTCTGAACCCCACTCATGAGCCAGCCCCCACCTGCCCACTTTACCCACAGGGAATCCTTAAAGTTGCTCAGGACCCCCGGCTTCTCGCCAGGCGTTGGCTGCTGGAAACAGGAGTTGTTCACGTTGCAGATAAGGCCCTGCAGCCAGGGCAGGGTGCCAGCAGATGGTAGCGGCTTGTTTGGAAAGTGGCCTGGGGGAAGAGGCACCAGCTCGGCGTCACCCTCCCTCGTAGAGGATCACCCAGTTCAACCCCAGCTCGAGGCTTGGCAGGAGAGGTCTGTCCTTCTCCCATGACACATAGTGGGCCTCTTTATTCTTCCTTTCTTTCTGTCTTTCTTTCTGCCTTTCTTCCTTCCCTCCTTTCTTTTTTTTTAAATTTATTTATTATGTATATAGTGTTCTGGGCACCAGATCTCATTAAGGATGGGTGTGAGCCATCATGTAGTTTCTTTCTTTCTTTTTTTCGACAGGGTTTCTCTGTGTCCCCTAGGCTGGGCTCGAACTCACAGAGCTCCGCCTGCCTCTGCCTCCCCAGTGCTGGGATTAAAGATGTGCGCCACCACCGCCCGGCGCACAGAGTGGGTCTTACATTCATGGTGCTCCAGTGGGGGGTGGGAGTGGCGGACGGCCACCAGGATGAAGAAGAGGAAGAGAGGCCACAGTAGTTCCACCAGTAGCTGGATCTGGGGTGGAAATGTGTAGAGACTCTGTGGGACCGTGATGAACAGACAGCTACCATTGCCCCGCACCTGCACATCTCGGCCTTACCGGTTGTCTCCTTCGATACGTGTAATTTTTCCACAGGAGGAGCATCAGCTGTGTGCAGAAGGCCATGACGACTCTGGACGAAGAACAGAGCAGAAAGGAGCGCAAAACAGGCTAAGGGTGAGCTGTGTGGTTCAAGGCAATGCCTGACGGTCTCTGGTCTTCATCCTTCAATCCACCAGTCATCCGCCCTTCGCACTGAGCAGCAGGAATCTCCTGTAAAGAGAGCCCCACAAACATACAGGGATGACCAATGGGAGCGCGGCCCGCAGCCTTCCTCGTAGCTGATTGGCTGGAAGGGCTATCGCTCTGTATAGGATGAAGGCTGGGGTCTGGAAGACCCAGTTCGCGTTCTTAGGGGGCGGAGCTTGGATTTAAGACCTCGGATTCTGACCTCCACCCTCAGCCTCATCCAGGACCGGAGTCTCGGTTCCCACGGCCCCCAGCGACCCTCGGTGAGACTCTCAGCCTCTGTCTCCAGTGCAGACAGAGTCTCACGTCCACCTGGCCCTCCATGTTACAGAAATGGAAACCGAGGCTCAAAAAGGGGCAGAGTCACGCTCCCAAGGAAACCGGAGATGAGCGAGGGCCGGGCCCCCAAGTGCCAAAAGGTTGGAGCAGACGACCTGACCCACTTCATAATTCAGACAGGGAAACTGAGGCTGACAGAGAAGGGAGTGACCAATGTTTAACCATCTACGTGGGAACTGGCGGCTTCCACTGGGGATCTGGGAATCTGGGAGGACTGGAGTCATTTGGAAAGCGGGGCGCTGCAGGCCAAGGTCCCTCTTAGGTGACCAGATGTCCTCTGTGAGAAAGCGATCAGTTTTCCCACACCCACACTCGCGGGAAGGGGAAGAAAGGGCGAGGCAGAGTAGGGGCTCGCCTGGAACCCCTAAGTATCAGGGAACGTGGCTCCGCCCACCCTAACCCCACAACACCCCAATTCGCCAGACCCCACCTTCCACCCTCTTGGGGTCCTCCTCACCGTTCCGAAGCCCCCAAACTCCGCCCGGCAGCGGCAGGGGTGCGCGGCCCCTTTAAGAGGAGCCCCCACCTCAACTGCAGGCGACGCCCTTCACACCCCGGCGCCCCGGGCTGCACCAGCCCCACCCCCAAGCGCTACTATTGGACAGTGCACTTGGAGGAGGCGGGACCTCAGCCTCCTCGGGCTCTCGGAGCCGGGTTTCTTAAAGAGACCGTAGGCTTCTGCCTGCGTCACGTTGGTTTCACAGGGACGGAAACACGTGGAGGACCCACAAGAGTTCAGACCTCAAAAAGGCCGCTCGCCCCTACAGGGAAATCCTCTGTCTCCTTTCCCCAAGGACTCTTTCCTACATTTTTTTAAATTATTGATACAGTGTTCTGTCTGTGTGTATCCCTATGGGCCAGAAGAGGGTGCTGGATCTCATTACCGATGGTTGTGAGCCATGATGTGGTTACTGGGAATTGAACTCAGGACCTCTGGTAGAGCAGCCAGTGCCTTTAACCTCTGAGCCATCTCTCCAGCTCCCAAGGACTCTTTCTTAAATATTTATTTGAGACTGGCTCATAGCTTGGTAGCCCTGATAGGCCTGGAAATCACTGTAGACCAGGCTGACCTTGATCTCAGAGGAAGAAGAGGTTTCCTCTGTGCTGGCGACCTTTATTTTTAATTTGTTTATTGGGGTAGGACGCATGCATGCCTGGCACATCTTTGGAGGCCAAAGGACAACTTCCTGGAGTCTGTTCTTGTCTTCCATCCTGTGGGGCCAACCAAAAGCTGCAAGTGCCTCTCTCCTCAATGCAGCTCCCAGCCACTAGCCTGGCTTTAGAGCCGTGGTTTTGAGGAGGTATATGAGTTCAGAGGGAGCCGGTGAAGGGCACAGCCTCTTCTTCCACCTTGGCCCTGACCTTAAATCATTTATTCACCTGAGTCTCAGTTTCTCCTCCTTACCCCTAACTTTTGTGCATGGCCGGCCCCTGCTTCTAAACAGCCCCCCCCCCCTCGGTCATCACCAACTTCAAGAATACCCTTTACTCTTAGAAATGGAGGTTTTTATTGGTTTTGGTCCACACAAGGTATTTCACATTATCTGGAAGCAGAGAGGCCCCTGTGGGTCGGGTGCAGCACTTCTGGCCGCCGGGGTGGAGTCCAGCACAGATAATCAGCCCAGGGCAGGAGGAGCGGGAGCGGGGAGGCGGAAACCCAGACGAACCTGGGCAAGGGTCTCGGAAAAGCAAATGCAGTCCCTCAGAATGCCTGCAGTATTTAGGGCCCAGGTGCACCCCCATACCTTTAGGGGGAACAAACAAAACACAAAACCCCTTGTTTCCTTTCATTGAAACTGCCTGCAATTTCCATGGGATCACACACCACAAACTGAAGAGATGAAGAAACCCGAAACTCTTCCAGAGCCTTCTGAGATCTATAGCTGGCTACTCTATCAAGTACCCCCATGTTGCTTACTGGGTGGGGGGGTCAGTCCTGGGAAGGAAGCAAGGCATGACAGGTGAGGAGGGCACAGCTAATGCAGACCTCTCCTCCCAGCCCTCAGGAAGCTGAGGCAGGAGGATTGCAGTGAGTTCCAGGCCAGAGAGGGCCACAAAGTGAGGCCCAGTTTCAAAAAACAAAACAACACAATGAAAACACATAAAACAAAGAAAAGCCCACACAGGGGTGCTGACGTGGGGAGCCAGCACCCTTGGGCTCAGTAGCCCGCCTCCTCCTGGCAGTATGCCAGGCACTCAGGGCCCTCACCATGGCCGTCACCCCCAACGGGGGCCCCATCAGCTGCTGGGCCCTGTGGGCAATACTTGGGGTCATATATCTGCCGCCCCAGCCCGAAGACCTGGCCGCTCTGGTTGGCGCCCTGCGTGTACCCCATCTGCAGAGACATGGAGGAGTTGTCACACTTGTCGGTGCCCAGCTTGGTGTCATAGATGTGCCTCCGGGTCCCTGGAGCCGTCATGCCCACCTGGAGATAGGAGAGAGGAGCTCAGAAAGGGGACCCCTTAATTCCCTCAGTATACCAGCAGTTCCCTACACGATTCCCGGAGCTTAGTAAAACCTTTCATTTTTATTTTTTATTTATTTATTTATTTATTTATTTATTTATTTATTTATTTATTTTGAGACAGGGTTTCTCTGTGTAGCAGTCCTGACTGTTCTGGAACTCGCTCTGTAGACTAGGCTGGCCCCAAACTCACTATGTAGCCAAAGATGACCTTGAACTCCTGACCCTTCTGCCTCCACTTTCTGAGTCTTGGGACAACAGGCGAGTGTGACCCTTTGTGCCATGTTGGGGACAGAAGCCAAAGTCTCATGCATGGTAGCAGAATGCTATGCACACTGAGCCTCACCCTGGCCCCTGAAACCCTGGCAAAAGGAGGCTGAGACAGGAGGATTGCTGAGAGCTCAAGACTATGGGCCTACATAGTCAGGCCCTATCTCAAACCCAACCCCCTGCACAAAAATAAAATAAATCAGACTTTTTGACCACCTGTAAGCACCAGCACCCCACTTTATCCTTGTCCCCCCCACCTGGAACAGAGACTTCCCCAAAACCTCAGGGACACAGGCAACAGCTTAGATGGGGGTGGACACTTGGGGGAAACTGAGGCACAGAGTAGGGTTGTCACGTCCAAAAGTGATGTGGGAGGTCCTTCTGTCTATGTGTTGCTTTTATTGGTTAATGAATAAAGAAACTAATTTGGTCTATAGCAAGACAGAACTTAGCTAGGCAGGGAAAACTAAACTGAATGCTGGGAGAAAGAAGGCGGAGTCAAAAAGAAGCTATATAGCCAAAACTTTGCCAGTAAGTCACAGCCACATGGTGATACACAGATTAATAAAGATGGGTTAGTTTAGGTGGTTATTTTGGGTCTAAGCAGTCGGGAACAAACAACCGGCCTCCAACAACACGAAAGCACACACAGGGAGAAAGACACAGAGTAGAGGCTACCCCGAGGCAGGGGACAAACCCACCTGACTGGCACACTTATTGGTGCCCATCTGGAGGCTGATGGTGCAATGATCCATGGGAGGCAGGATGTGGTTCTTGGGGTCATAGAGGTGTCGTCGGGTACCATAGGCTGTCATGCCAGACTGGCTGGCACATTTGTTGGTGCCCATCTGCACGGGAAATGTGGGGGTTAGTGTGTGGACGCCAGCCTTCTCAGCCTTCCTGAGGCTGCAACCCTCAGTACAGTTCTTCATGTCGTGGGGACCAAGCCCATCACAAAATTATTTTTGTTGCTACTTCATAACTGCGGTTTTGCTACTGTTAGATATCATAATGTGAATATCTCATATGCCACCCCTGTGAAGGGCTTTTTCAGGCCTACAAAGGTTGTGACCCACAGGTTGACCTTTGGCCTAGACCCGTCTGGGGTGGTGCCTACCTGCAGCCCAATGACACACTGGCCGGCCTTCATGGTGGCATCATCAAAGTTCCTCTCCTGTTTCTCCGAGTATTTGACCCCGATGTCCACACCACTCTGCAGCCCCTTGGTCTTGGCCTGGGTGGGGGTGAAGGGAGCCGGGGACCCTCAATCCAGGTCAGTGGATATAACGCCCCAGAAATACATCCAACACTATCCCCACAGGCAGCTGGCCCCACCCTTCCGAGCCCCACACAGGGACCCCTCCTTGTTCTCACAGGCCCACATCTCTTCACGTGCTGTTCCCCCAACCTAACCACTGCTATACCAATCTTTCCGATTTCTCTCTCCTCCCCGCCTCCCACATCAGACAGTGACTCTTAGGAGGCCCGGCCTGTGTTTGTCTGGTTCACTTTGCTGTGTGATTCGGGGCTGCCCACCAACCCTCTCTGGACCTTACCTTTCCCGCCAGCGCAAGCAGAGACACTTGCACCTGCGTCATGTTCCCGCTCTCAAACAGATCATTGGCCTCAAACAGGTCCACAGGGTTCATGCCATAGCCGACCATGGCCTTGATGAAGTTGGAGAGGTTTTCTAGCTGGGAGGAGGCAGGGAAGGGCGGTGAGCCCTACAGTACACGTGGGCAGGGCTGGGCATCCCACTGTCTACTTGCCAGCTCCTCACCTGGTGCCAGTTCTGCATAGAACGGTTGATCTTGGGGACGGAGCCTGGCTGGAGGTTGTTCATGAGTCTGGGAAGAAATGACCCAGGACCCCCCATTGGCATTCTGACCTCAGCACACTCACACTTTCCCAGCCTCGGTTTCCCTTAGCCGCCAACAATGGACGCTAGGAATATAATCTTGAACCACGGGGCTCGGGGAGAATCTAAGAATTCTGACTATAGTTTCTTTTCACATGCACAACTGTGGAATATATGAACGGCAGATGCATAGCACACAAGATGAAGAAACTTCCAGAAGCGTTATCCGCTGACGGGGAAAGAGAAGGCCTAGGGTAGGACTGCTCACAGCGGGAAGTTTGTAGGGAATACAATAGTACAAGGAAACACCAGACAGGGACAGAGAAATACGTTTGGAGACTACAATACTGCAGAAAAAGACAAGGGGCCAGACAGAGGGCTCAGAGGTCAGGGTGATTGCCACTGTTCCAGGCCCTAGGTTCAGTTCCCAGCACCCATGTCAGGTGACTCATAGCCAGCTCCAGGGATCAAAGCGCCCTCTTCTGGACTCTGAGGTAAGTGCACTCATGTACATCATATACTCACAGGGGCACACAGGCCCAGTCACTCTCTCACACACACACACAAACTCAGAAGTAAAAGTGAAGTAAACCCAAAATAAAATAAAATAAAATCAGATCAACAGCTGGGCAGTGGTGGCACACACCTTTAATCCCAGCACTTAAGAGGCAGAAGCAGGCGGAGCTCAAGTCCAGCCTGGACTACAGAGTGAGTTCCAGGACAGACTCCAAAGCTACAGAGAAACCCTGTCCCCCAAGACATAAACAATAAACAAACAAATAAATAAAGACAAGAAATAGCCAAGAGAATAAAAACCAAAAGAGAGACTATGCGATAAGACAAGAAAAAGAAAAAAAAAACTAGAAATGCACAAGCCGTGCAGCAGGGGGCGCTGATGTCTGTGCGCATGTGTGCACTCACGTGCACAAGATGACCCCGTCTTTCAGGCCCTTCTGGAAGTCGGGGCCAATGGAGAGGCCCGTGAGTCCTTCAATCCAGCTGCGGAGCTCTGCTTCCTTCTGGGGGTCATATTTGGACAGGAGCTGAGAAGCAAGGAGCACAGAGATTAGCTGGGGCTTGGACACAATCTGCAAAACTCTCAGACAGTAGAAGGAACAGAGGATCTCACATAGCCCAGGCTGGACTTAGATGACCCTGAACCAATCCTCCTGCCTCCACCTCCCCAGACCTGGGATGACACTTGTCTGGGAAGTGCTTGGGATAAAACCTGAGCCAGCACTCCACCCACAAAGCTACACCAGCAGCCAGATCCCTGCTTCTGCTGCTGACTTCATCTACTCTGAGCACTTCCTATCTGCCTGGGGCTTTGTCCTGTGACTTGAGGACAGCGACCAGAAGGTTCTCCACTGACATCATAGCGGCCTGTTATTTTTCATGGCTGGGCAATATTCCAGCCAGTAGGCAACCCCAGGAAGACTGTCTCCACATGACTGGGTTAAAAAAACAAAAACCCTGAGCTTTCCCCCCAAGACACACCCACTTCCCCCAGGCTCACACCTGCCTGCACCCCAGGCCTGGACAGGCAGGGGTCCAGCCAGGAGCCTGACTGCCAACCTCATGGGAGGAATAGGTTTCCAGTGGACTAGAAGGACCCTAGAGAACTGTCCCCGGGCCTGGCTCCTGCCACGTGGAGGACCACAGCAGGTTCTAGGCTCCCCGGGTCTCAGTTCTCCATTTTTTATTTTTTTGTTTGTTTTGTTGAGATGCGATTTTCTCT